ACCCTTTTCTTTATATTTTCGAATCTTAGGGACAGATCCACTTTTCAGGCGTCACATACAATGTTCTATATTTATTGCTTTTCTCCTGCTCTCAGTTGTTTTTTTTCTCCTTTTTTTTTCAAAAGCCGTTTTAATTGACCAATCTTGACCAGCCAACCTAATCAGTGTGGTTATTTACCAGGAGCCCAAATTATCAAATGTCCTTGAAACCCACACTGCTGTGGAGAAGCAGATCCCCCAGCGGGCGGCTGAGCACCTGTTAAGCATCTCTGTCCCCCAGAAGCACAGGATCTAAACAATGGAGCCCCAATCAATTAACACGAGAACATTTTCCAGGGCTAAGTGGAAAGAGCCACTTAGGGTAAAAAAAGAAAAGGGAATTATAAGTGGTTCTATTCAGTTCCTTTTCTTAAGAAATCATGTATTTCGGTGAATCCCACATTTCATTGAAATAACTCTAAAATGCCTCTCTTAAAAGAGACTTGTACTTTAGAAAAAGGAATTTATCAGATGGTTCAGGAAAATGGATAGAATTTTACACTATATATCTTGAAATCCTTATTCTCTAGTTTCTTTTCTATTTTTATGAAATATTCATGAATTATATTCACTACTCGTAAGCCATCAACTGCATTTAGAATTGGCAGGCATACGTTGGAATGTAAATGGCATATTTTATTTCCTTTTTTCTCTAACAAGCTATTATAAACATTCCTTTCTGTACTCATGATCCTTATTAAGGAAGTTAGTATCACTTTAGAGTTAGTTTGGAAATGAAATAAAAATGAAACAAGAAATATCGTAGAGCTAACTAATAGACATAAACTGAAAATTTCATGATTGATGAAGTATGTTAAATCTCCTGTTTACAGACTTTTAAAGAACTACTAATAATTAACTAAAATACACTGTACTGACAAGCCCACATAAGGAACTCCAATTAGATTAATCACACTACTTCTTACCTAAATTCTGAGAAGGGATATTTTTATCCTCTTTCCTAATATTAGATTGAACAGTATATTGTAGTGTTGCTATCTTTCGATTTTATTTGTATTTATTTGGTTGTAAATTTATTAGATTCTGTTTCCTTTATATTATATTATAATATTATATAATATATTAATTGTATTACATAACAAAGTTCTAGGTTTTCTTGAGAAAGAAAGACATGGTACCCAAGGAAGAAAGAAGGAAGGCTTTAGTTTTGACTTCCTTTAATGTATTAAGTATGTAAATATTTTCCTACATCACCCAATCTGGTTAACATATAATAAAATATATAGAATTATTAACAGCATGTTTCGTTTGTTTAGAATGACTTTTTTTTACAGAGTAGCCATGAGCATTACAAACATAGTAATGAATGTAAATAAATGCAAAAATGCATCTTCTATAATTTAAACTATGCTTTAAACTATACAGCATAATCATTATGAACTCTAAAATGTAATTTTCCTTATCTCCTCATTGTGTTTCTCCTACCGCCTTATTTTCATATTGTGTATAAAATTATTGTTAGTAAGATGAGTCTGTGTTGATGTATTTAAGCAACTATATAGTGACCTTCTGAAAAAAAAAAAAAAGATACTGATATTTGGCACAGTCACAAACAACAACAAAAATATTATTTTTTCCTTTCTGAAATCTTCAACTGTGAAATAGCACAGTTTGTGCAAGCAATTACTATTTTACTGGTAGCATGTATGAAATGAAGGCTCCTTTCTATATTGTCCCTTTGTCATATGGAAAATGTCCAAATAAATATACATTTTCTTGGTTGGTCATCAGGGTTATTGTTAGTCTTAGAAATGAATAATTTTCCCACTTCACTGAAATATTCATCTGATCAAAAAATGTCTTTAATACCACGCACCATGAGTATGTTATAATTTTATGAAAGACAGTTACAGAAAAAGGTTAAGAGCTGAGTCTAAATCAAAGAAAGAGGCACATGGGTGCTACTTAAAACAATATTTTCATCGAAAAGGAAAAAATACTCCCTCAGTTCATCTTTAGTTACTGAAAGGTTGGCACAGATAACTTCGGTGCTGGGTTAAATAGCTATCCCAGCATTTCATACATTTAAACTTGAATTGAAAAGCTTTTCTTGTCTCCAAAAGAGAAATAGTCACATATTACTTACATAGTAATTACAGTGTATGCAGCTGCCCAAAGCTTTACTATAAATGTGTTAAGCATGAACCACTACAAACCTTATTCAAATCGCTTTAAATGTTACGCCAAAAAAATGTCATCCTCCAAACCACTCCGCACAATTGCTTACACAAGAACAATGGCCATCTCCCTAGCCTGAGACCTAAATAGTGTAATTGAATCAATGTCGTTCATTTAGGCTATGGTTGGTTAAAAGTCATTACTGTTATTCCTTACCAGTAAAGAGGTCTCTTTCCTCTCATTATGCATAAGTGAAGCTTATGCTAATGCATCCAAATGTAAGAATGAATAAGCTGCTTTGAAAAAGCATTTAAAGATTGAGGATTCAAGAAAAAGTACATGCCATCTATCATGATAAAAATACTGACCTAATTTCTATATTTCACTGATCCTTGCTTTAAGCCTTTCTAACATACAATTTAAAGCTTACACAGCATTTCCATTTGCTTAGTACTTCAAAAACATTTAGCTGGTCACACAAAGCACTGTAGTATTCTCGTACCAGTAACACGGGATTCAAGAGGCTGAACGTATAAAAATGTTTTAAAGGAAGTAGTAGAGTCACGCTTTCTCAAAAGTTTCAACCTTATCATTAGTGGACTATATATCACATATTCAGGACACATAGTTTAATCCTGATGTTGATTTGTATTTATTATTTGAACTTTGTAGCAAATGAACTTGGCAAGATTTGAAAAATATTGTAGCAACTTAAGTTATCAGGTTTATGACCTAAGACCTACAGCAGTGATTTTTGACCTCTTTCATCTCATGGCACACAGACTGATTACTAAAATTCTGCGACACACCAAAAATATATATTACATTTTTTGCCTATATGACAAAAAAAAAATAGGAATAATTTTGATTCATTCACACAGGATGGTAATTATTGTGTTGGCTGCTGTCACTTTTTTATTTGACAAACTAAGGGAACAGAAGTCAGTGCCCCGACTAAATAGCCAGGTATTGCATGTTTTACACATTCTTGCGGCTCCCCAGGTGAACATGGTTGACTAGATCAATGTGGGAACAAAGCAGACTGAGTTTAAGTTTTAATTCACCTTCATTCAAAGACACAGACCCACTAAAATGCAGTACACTCTTACAACTTTCTATTTTTGAAACTTTTGTTAACTGAATAATGTCTAAGAATTAAAAATGGCAAGATCACATGTGGATATCATGTAACCCTTGATATCAAGGGATAAAAAGGGCATTTGCTGTGGCTTTCTTCGTAAAACCCCTTGGACCCAGTGTAATCATGAGAAAATACCAGGCAAATCCAAGTTTGGGGAATGTTCTACAGGATACCTGGCCAGGACAGTACCCCTTAAGACAGTCAAGCTCATGAAAACAAGACAATGCTGAGAACCCATCACAGATAAGAAGAGACTGGGAAAACATGCCAACTAAATGCAATACCCTTTGATAGCCAATGAAATATATACCCTAGACTGGGTCCTGAAGCAGAAGGAAGGCATTAATGGAAAAACTAGTGAAATCAAAATAATGAAAAAAAATGCATATTCTACATTAGAATTTGCTCATTAGGAGTGACAAGAGTTCCAAGCACTGAGAAGTGTTAACAATGGGGAATCCCAGGTATAAGATGCATGGGAATTCTCTCTACTATCTTTGTGGTTTTCTACAAATCCAAAATTTTTCCAAAGGGAAAGGTTTTTGGTTGTTGTTGTTTTTGGTTATTTTGAACAAGGCTATTTACTTCCAGAAATTAAAAACTGACCTTCATTTACACAAGGCTAGATTTTGTTATATAATGAGTCTCTTAATCCTAAAAGTTATATCACACCAACATTTTAAAATTATAGATTACATGCTCTCAAATTTGAAGAAAAAGACTGTTATACATAGAGGATAACAGTAACAACTCAACTCCATAAATGCTCATTATTTTTTACCTCCTTCTCTCCAGAGGAGGCCAGAGGGGCCTCACAGTCAACATTCTCTCGATAACAGTCCTTTAAAACTAGACGTCCGGCAGCAAAGTGACAAAAGAAACATAGAGGCAACTTTCCCTACTGTGTAGGCTGAAAATGAACTGAATTAAAATGTTCACTTGTCTTATTCCCATAGTCTGCCAAGAACCTTGCGCGTACTGTGGGGCATGTTGGGCTGATCTGAAGCTGTGCTGTTGAGGGTGCGACCTCAGACAGTGCAGCCTCGCGGCCCGCGGGACAGTTGGACTGAAATGCACGCACAGAGGCGGGAGGTCGTCCGCAGCAGCACCTGCGCCAGCGCACAGAAGGCGACCACTGGGCCACCTGTTTACTCGCAGTCAGATGAATGAAAACCAATTTCTTTGTTTAGGAAAAAAAATAGAAAAAAAGCAGGAAGTGACGTTTTATGCTTATAGTAGATGCGGTGACTATAGTTTCAGAAGAGAGAAGAGGAAAGCAAAACCAATCTTAAAGCTAGACTTGTTCATTATATAGAGAAAAAAATACTTGAATGATTTATTTGATCATAAAGGGCAAGGTCTTGGAAAAATTTAGAAAAATACTAAAAATTTATTTTTATAAAAGATGACAAGCAGTCCTGCCCGCGTGGCTCAGTGGTTGGGCACTGTCCTGTGCATCAAAAAGTTTCCAGTTTGATTCCAGGTCAGGGCACACGCCCGGGTTGTGGGCTCAAACCCTGGAAGGGGGTGCAGGAGGCAGCCGAGGGATGGTCCACTCTCACATCGATGTTTCTCTCTCCCTCTCCCTTTCTCTCTTTAAAAATCAATAAAAGTATTTTTAAACAGATGACAGGCATTTTGGGGTTTACACAACCTTTTTCCTTGTATGTGAATTTCTTACCTTCCTCTTGGCAAGTCCGCATCATCCTTTTTCCACCGCACGGTCGGCTGCGGATCTCCCTGGACCTGACAACGAAATTCTACAGCTTCTTCCTCCAGCACCACCTGGTTAATTGGCCTCCTGAGAAATGTGGGTCGTTCTTAGGAGAAAGAAAAAAAAAAAAGTAAAATAAAATAAATATTCTGTATGTTTTAAGTACATTATGGAAAAAGCATTGAAAATTGTGGTTTATTTTTGGTACAAAGGTACTTAACTCTGTATCTTGACTATGTCTTGGTTGGGATTTACAAATACAACATAATTGAATAAAATAAAATATTTTGAAACACAGAAATAACTATGGTTTGTATATAAAACCATAGAGCCTTTTGGAAAAAATATTAAATTGATTCTTCAGTGAATTCCTGAGCTAAATCATTTAGATCCTATCATAAAAAATCTGAACATTGAATTCCACAGAAATGAGGAAAGAGATAAAAATGATTATTTCAGTCTATTACAGTGGTTCAGAATGCAAAAACTAAAAGTTGAAACTAATGTAAAATATCAAAAAGAAAACATATAAATATTTCATTAGGAATGATAGAGAAAACAAAAGAAATTGTGCTTTGCACAGTACTATCTAGATTTTCCCACTTTGATTGTTCAAAGGAGCCGATGATCCATTGAATATTTACAATCCATGTATGGAAAGCTGTCTACTTGATTTCTGTTTTTCTTAAATAAAAACTATCAATCTGATTTTTTTCTTAAATAAAAAGTACTTATTTTTAACTATTTTAAACTACTCACTCTCCTTTATATATTTTTAAGGCCACTTCTAATCATCTTCTCCTAAGTGTTCCCAACATTTCCCATTTTTTTCCTTTACTTAATTTTTATGTTTACTTCTCTGGCATTCTGTTTAGTGTTTCTGTCCATTATTCCTTTGTTGTTAATTCGCTGTTAATCTGCATTCTATCACTGCTCTGTACAAAGCTAGGAAAAAAAATACCTGTCCATAAGAATCTTACCAGGTAAGAGAAATACAAAACACAAAGTCGTTTTACATTTCTCTAAGCACTTCAATTCCTTGACTGGTATCTTCCACTTTTTATAATTATCAAACTATGATCATTTAAATGAACATTTAAATTTTATTAGCATGTCTCCAAATCAGAAAAGTCCAACACAGTGCTACATATTGAAGCAGAAAGAGAAGTTAAGAAAAGAGGCAAAGTCCACAGGAAGTTGACACAATTGATCTGGTCATATGGCCATATTCGGTCACTTAGGACTTTAGTTTCAAACACAATTTCACAATGTGAATATAGTGCCACAGAAACGGAAACATATCTAGCAAGAAGCCTGTAAAGAAAATAAATCACTTCAAATAACATATGTTAAGAGTAGAGAGTGGAAATACATGATTTTATGGACTAAAGATCCATATTCATAAAACAGGTGTTTAATTACAAGATCATATTCTATTGCAATGAAGCCAACTATCATAGGTGTTCAGACAGAAGGCAACTGTATCTCTTCACAAGAAAGGTGCCAGACTGTTGGGATCAAAACTTTCTTTAAAACACAGACCTACAGATGCCCAAGTATCTGTACTTTAACACTCCAAACTCCAAGCCATAAAACAAGGCAAATAAAATTTTATCACATAATTTTCAATGCAAAATTAATAACTAATCCATATCAACTTGAGAAATGAAGATTGCTCCTAATGGTTTTTGGTAGTAAAATCAATCAGCAGCTAAGTGGGCCCCTTTCACCAAAGAACAAATCTGCATGCTGGGTGCAAGGATTCAGTATTATCCTTTTGAAGTCCGGACACTGTGTGCTCCAAACAACTATTTTCATGCCGGCATAGTTGATATTGAGCCATTGTTTGTAGCAGTAAATAGGCAATAGGATCAGTATCTTCTTATGAGTGCATGGAATGTTAACAATAAAAATAAATCATTAGCATAAAAGGCGGGATTGATTTTTTTCTTTGCCATTGCTTGGATATGCCCATCCACTTCATCTAAAAGCTGGAATAATCCAAGTTAAAAGAGAGCTAAGCCACTGTTGTCATTGCTTGAGGTTGAGAAATGAACTGTCAGGAGACCCTTTCTGGCCCCTGTGATTTTAATGGAGACATTTTACTACAAATGGGCATATGGATAAGCGAGTTGAGAGGTCGTTCCCTCATCCACTCATTTATTCAGCTCATGTGATTACAGCTTTTCCCATGCCAGGCTTTGAGTTCGGTAGCTAGTGAATGGCCAGCAGCTTGGGCTCATCAAGAAAGTGGCGGGAGATAAAGTTAGTCAAGACCATGGAGAACCTTGTACACCATGTGAAGGAAAGTGAGTTCTGCCCTGAGATGAGAGAGTTGTTGAAGGATCTTCAGTAATGAAGCAACATTCTTAATAGGCCCATGAAAAAGTTCATGTTGGCAGATCTGTGAAAGATTAGAAGTGAAACATGAAGCAGTGAATTAGGTCAAACTGTCATTGCAAGAAATCATTTCAGCTCAGACTGACACAGTGGCTCTATCGATGTGGGAAAGAGGACAAAACAGTTATCAGAACTGAACATCAATCAGAAGTAGGTGCTGAAGAAGCAAAGTATAGAACATTCTCAAGTTTCTATTTAGCTATTTGAAACAAATTGTCAGGTAAAGTATGGATATGAGGGGTGTGTGTGTGTGTGTGTGTGTGTGTGCTTGTGAGTGTATTTGTGCGTGTGTGTGTGTGTGTGTTTGTGTGTGCGCAGACCCTTTCATGGTACATCTGACAAAAAAAATGAACCCTTTATGCTTAAGCCATTGTTACTCAGGTTTCTGTTACTTGAAGTCAAATGCATTCTTAATAAATAAGATAAATGAGACTACTTATATAATAGAGGGGAAAAGAAAACTAATACGATAATTTTTTGTATGTATAGAAAATCTCTTGGATTAAAATATCCAAGTTAAAAACTCAAAAGAAACTTCTGATGAAGGTATTTTTTCAGAAACTGAATACAAAAATTATTTTTAAAGTAATGTACTAAAGTCATGCCTGTTAAAACCAGGAATAAGATGGACATGCCAACGTTAGTAATCGGTAAGGAAAAGAAGGTGCCCTGGCTGGCGTGGCTCAGTGGTTGGAGCATTGGCTCACGTGCCAAAGGGTCAAAGGGTCAAAGGTTTAATTCCCAGTCGAGGGCATTTACGTGGGTTGCAGGTATTATCCCTGGCCCGGGTCAGGGTGGAGGGCAGTGTGTAAGAGACAACCGATCGATGTGTCTCTCTCACACTGACATTTCTCTCTCTCTCTCCCCCTTTCACTCTCTCTAAAAACAAAAATCAATGGAAAAAGTATCCTCAAGTGAGAATTAAGAACAACAACAAAACAAAACAAAAGAAAAAGAACGAAAGTGTGCATATTGAAGAAGAACCAAAACAATCATTACTTGCTGACATTGTAAATACAGAACAATAACTCTGATAATTGAAAAATGCAACAAAAAATAAGAAGTACAGATGATCATTATAACAGTCTTCGAAAATGTAAAGTTTTTAGGATAAACTGTAGCAAATTCATACATTAAAAAACTAGTAAGTCATTGTATTGTTAAATCTATCTATCTCTTTATCTCTAACATGGAGAATTTTCATGGCATGATGCTGACTATAAAATAAATTGCATAATTACATGTAAGAGTGATTTCATTAAAACATACATGCATATTTTCAGGCAACGATTTTGTATGCTTCCTTCAACATGCTATCAGTCACAAAATGGCAACATATGAGTATAATTAATATGAAGGGCAAACTTCACATTAGACTTGTCACAAACCTAGAGTTATCTCTTCATGCAGGGGACACCATTGGGATCCTTGAGAGTTCCTTAGTTATCATAGATGTTCTCGCCACACTGTTTAGTATAGGGACACGTGGAAGCACCTGACTGATAATTTCAAGAAGAAGGAAGACACAGGATCGCCTGCTGCTGTTCTGATGAGCTCAGCAGGAAGGGAGGACATCCCAATGAACCTTCTCTAGTCTCTTCTGCCCTCAAGCAGAGTTTAGTTGCCTAGCAATGGGGTAACCACAGAGAGTATGTGGTATAGATTTTTTGGAAGCCTAAGATTGGCTCATAATAGAAATACATTCAACTGATTTAAAAAAAAATGTACAATGCAAAGAATAACCTGGATGAAAGTCATTTGCATATACATGGTATATTCAGGTAGATTTTATACCTGAATATATTAGGTTGTGCCTTCCAATAAAGTAATACTGAAATTTACTAATATATTGGAATTTGGTCACAACTTTTAAAGAGTTAGTCTGAGAATTCCTATAGCACCCATTACAACAATTATGTCTAAATTGTATTACTCATTATCTCAATGGTTTTCTGACAATTATTCTAAGTTCACCTTCTTTGCAATTTTAACTGCCTACAAAAACTACATGTTAAAAACTTGAACTTGGTCTATCATTTATTTAAATGAAAATATTTGTTTTGTAAAAATCTGTTTTCCAGTTCCTTTGACTAGACTTTATTTCCAGAAAATCTGAGGGCCCAGAACATACATATTAAAGATCTTAAAATGTGTCCAGGCAGAAACGTATCTGAAATCCTTTGCCTCGGGAGTGGCTGCTGTTGTCAGGAGCCAAAGCCAAAGCCACGCCTCTTTCGGACGCACGCTATGAAAACTACAAGAAAATGTTTGGGGCTTACTGCTTTGTGTCAAGATCTTCTGCAAAGAAATTTAAATTTAGAAAGATTAGAAAGTTAAGTTTATAAGAGAACATCCAGGAAATTGATTGGTGATCACCTTCAATACCCATCAGTTGCCCAGTGGAGTTTGTATCCCAGGGAGCTCTGCACAATTTCAAATATGTATATGCAACATCTTGAACTACTGAGTAATGAACAAACTGTTGTAAGGCATGCCAAAATAAGGTCACTGATTTTTTCATGTCATCACCTTATGTCTGATCACATATTGAAAAACAGGGCTAGAAATCTCATGGGCTGTTTGCTGACTGCTTATCAATTAGATTAGAGTCTCTCTGAATGACCGGGTCCCTAATTATAAAGCCATAGAGTGATCAGAGGCAATGTCTTTGCCAATGCAATTAACATTTTTTTTTTTTTTTTTATG